AGAGAAATTGAACTCAGGTGCGATAAACCAGTGTTTTGACAGGGGGGCAAACACTTGTTCACACAGGGCTCTATAGTTTTGGATTTTGTTTTCCCTTAATAATAAAAACCTTCATTTAAAAACTGCATGATGTGTTTACTTGTGTTATCTTTGACTAATATATAAATTTGTTTGACGATCTGAAACATTACAGTGTGACAAACATGCAAAAAGATAAGAAATCAGTAAGGGAGCAAACACTTTTTCACCCCACTGTACATCTGTAGGTTAATTTAGAACAATAAACGCCATCCCATATGGCTACATACAGTAGCAGATGCTTCAGCTACGTCCAAACGTCCACTTTACTGTTTTGAGCACAGACAGGATGGAAGTTGATTCATCTGCAGCGTCTGTGTCATCTGCCAACAGCTGCTAGCTAGCGTTAGCTCCCGAACCGAGAGCTGAGATCAGGGTGCAGAATAATTTTTCAGTCTGATGCTCTTGTCATCAGGATCCTTAGGTCTGCCATGAGTTAGTGATAGCTAGGGTTATCCATTCTGATCTACCACAGTCAGTAAAGTGAGATCTAAACAATTGAAGCAACTTTTTAGCCAAACAAAAGAAGAATGTGTGCAGGTAAATACAGCACCTCCCTCCCAAAATGGCGCCCCCGTCCCAACATTCAACAAGACGTGATGTACTTTCATATTCTCTATTAGTAGAAACAAATGTGTCAGGTATTCTTTTACTGTCTGTCTTTGACACGTTGCTGAACACCAGGCTTTAGGATGGTGACTTCACTGACGAACCTTTAATAACAGTGTCTGTGGTTTGCATTTTTTATTCCAGTCGCTACACTTCAGTTACAAAGGCTGCTTTGTGCTGAGCTCGCTTCTACCCTCTGTGACATCCATCTGAGGTGGAAAGTAACTAAGTACATTTACTCAAGTACTGTACTTAAGGTGTAAACAGCAGTCCTAATCTGTAACGTCCACAGTTTGACTCCCAGCTGCAGGATCCCTGTTGCATGTCGTACCCTCTCTCTCTCAAAATGCCGCAGCAGTAATCTTACAAAGGATTGTCGGAGCTGCTTTGTCATGTCCTACAACATCTGCTGCTTCAGACTGAAATGCTGCAAGATAAATCTGCATGAGGGTGTCCTGCATTTTGCTGCATCATGTCCTATAGGAAATCACTCAGAAACCAGACCGGGCAAAGTAACATGCCATCATGCCTCTGTGACATAATCTGCCCCAGTGCAGTGTGGGATTTATTGGATCACACTCAGTCACTTGGAGAGGCCGCGAGCAGCCGACTGTACTGTGTGATTTCATAAGAATCAGCCTCGTCTTCGCAGCTGTCAGACTTCATCATTGTTCTCAACCTGTTAAATCATTTGTGAGCGTGAGGTCAACCTTTTTCTCTTGACATCAGATGTACCTGAACGTCACATGACTCAGGAATTAGAGGCCTCAGGTGAACCCAGATCTGAAAGTCTGACTCACTCTGTGGACAATCTGTTTGTTGTGTTGGTTGCACGTATGAACCTTCTAAGATGCAGCAACAGTACTATTAGATCCGTGTCTGTGAGTCATCGCTGCGTTTCCCAGCCTTCATTACTGCAGCTCTACCTGGAGCTTCTCTGCTGCTCTTGGTGTTCGCAGTAGGAAGGATGTGATGCTCTGTGTTCCCAACAGCAGCTTAAGCTTTGCAAAGCTTTAAGTTCTCTGAGCACCAGCCGAGGTTAAAACCCATTTTGGCTGTTCGTGAGAGTGTTGTCCTTCAGACAGGTTTTCCACAGTTGCATAGCAACAGCAATCGCCATGACCAGCACTTCCCATGGACAGCGACTCAGCACTACCAGTTACAAAGGAACTGCCTGGTAGACACACGGGACAACTGCAGCCCTGCATCCTGTTGCCTAGGGCACCACCCAGCCCTGTACAAAGACAAGCCACCATCATTCTTAGCACTTCCTGATAGGATGCTCCTAAGATAGTGTTGCCTGGCAACAAACCTGACCGCAGCCAGAGAGCAGAGTGAAAATGTATTCAGAGCCACAAAATTACACAAAAAAAGAACCCCCCCCCACACACACACACAAAACTGAGCTACTTGGTAAGTGATGATTAGTGCAGCAACCAGCTTCACTTTACATAAAGCACAGAGTGTTTTCTGCAAAGTCTGGTACAGAACAACTGATCCTGTTGCTTAGCAAAAGTATCTATTACATAACACAGTTCAGTCAATGCTCCACCAATTATCAGTGTAGAAGCTGTAGCTTAGTTTGTCTGTCTTTGGAGTCTCACACACTCACTGCCCTCCTGCAGTATGTAAATTCCCACTACAACCTGTCACTCTATAGCCCTGTTAGTTGATAATAGGATGGATATACTGTAAATCAGCCCTGTACAACCGCCAAGTGCACTTTCTCAATGCAGTATGAATGCACAGGGGTATCAGCTGCCCCTCTTCTTTGGAGGTAGAAACACTCTCACCTCTGTACTGGTAAAATGCTTTACAGCAAAACACATTCAGCAAACCAGTTCTGCCTTACAAAACTGGTGTCTGCATTTTTGCGCCAGCGAAAAGCTTCCAGGTTAAATTTAGCATGTGGGCACATATTTCTAGACTTGCACACAACCTGCAAAAGGGAAGCTGCAAAGTTAGTAGTGATCAAAGTCAAAATTTAACACAAGTTTTGGCAAACCAAACAGTGGGACGACAGGCTGGCAGCCAAGTCTCACTGTGGGAAAGTATCGAGATGATGCCATAGCACTGTTTTCAGATCAGTAATAGTCACAGTCAAGGTTTAGAGGCATATAGTATGTTACACATTAGACATGACAACACCTCATCTTTAAAGAGGGTTTTGCAATAGCAATATCACTGCTGTGAAAGAAAGTGCATCTGAGGGAGGTGAAAAGCCCTGCTCAGCAGTGTTCAGTGTGGCATCCTGTGTCATTTTCTCTAATAAAATAAAAGTTCATCATGAGATTTGTTAACCATTTTCAATGTGATTCCAGTTGGTCTCCAGTGAAAGTTGCCAGCATTTAACAGGTAGACTGCCTGTATTTCAACCCACTGCCAACATCTGGTTTACCTTCCTCTTGTGCTATGTTTGGCTTTGTTTGTAGTAAATATATTTTAAATTGCAACTTACGATTTGTGGTGGTGGAGGGTGTGGGCATGGTGGTTGTTGGATGCGTTGGCTTTGTGCAGGCGCTCAAGCCTCTCTTTCTCTTTCTCTACAAAGTTGGTGTTGGTGCCGGTGCTGGTGGAGGGCACCCGGGTCAGTCGGCTGTGGGCACGCGGCTGATCTCTGGGTGGGATCGGAGGAGGGGGAGGTGGAGCTGAAGAAGAAATCGGGGCCGGGATCTGGGTTGGGATTGAGATGGAGGTCGGGGCTGAAGCTGGAGCAGGAGCCGGGATGGAGGTTGCACTGGAGCTGTTGGTGCTGTTGTAGGAGTGGTGGTGCTGCTGTTGGTGCTGGTGGTGGTGGCTGTGGTGGAGGGGAATGGAGGAAGGAGGCTGGGGAGGAGACTGGTGTTGGCTGTTGTGGTGGTTCTTGGAAGAAATGGATGTTGATATGTTCTGAGTAGGTGGCGGCGGCGGAGGCGGAGAAGGGAGATGAGGCTCCTGAGGAGGAGCAGGTGGAGGAGGAGCGACAGGTTGCCGGTCCAAACGCAGGTCCTTGTTCTCCTGGCTGAGCCGGTCCAGTTGGACCTCCAGCTCCTCAATTCGGCGCCGTTGTGTTTCTAGAAGCTTCTGCTGGCTCTCGATGATGTTGTTGAGTTCGAGAAGGTACTCCACGGCCCGGTTGGGGCTCTCTGGGCTGCCCTGGCCTGGGCCTTGGTTAGCATCCATGACTAGCTGGTCTGAGAGTTAGCACACAAGTTAATAGGAACCTTGGGGAAATGCCAAGTTCACTAATGCAAATTTGAAACTAAATGCTGGCTGGTCCTGTCAGTTAGATGCCAGTAGTGCACTGGCAGCTAGCTCTGAGGCTAAATCCTCAACCTCTGCACAGGATGAGATGCTGCTCGAGTCACAGCTTCTTCACTCACTGAGTGCTAGATACCAAAGGGACCAGTAGGGTGTGACAGAGAAATGAGTCAGTAGCCCAAGAGTTAAAACTGATTAAACACAAAGGAGGCTTCAACACAACACAATACAATACCTTGAAATTAATTACTACTCTCTAGACCAAGAGTAGAGCTGCCAGTGTGCTCCGCTGTCTGGTCTACAACCTAAAACCTAACTACAAAACTACACCTTATGGCCCCAACCCCTAAAAACTAAACTACCTTTCACCCTCCCCCCCACCAGAGGTAAGTGGGGGGGAGAGGACTTCTTCTTCTTCTTCAAGATCTGATTTGAAAATCAAGATGGACCTCGTCCTTGTGGGCTCCAAGTGGAGAGGTTTATCGAGTCTTCGACCATCCCCCGGTTCAGTCAGGTGTTCCTGTTGGGACTCATAATGGTTGAAAACAGAACAAGTTTCTAGGAATCAGAGATTGTCTTCTTGTCCCCTGACAGTCAGGACAGTGTCCTTGTCTCTGTGTTTGTCAGTGAGTCACTTGTATCCTCTCTCTGCACTCCATGCAGGAAACCATAACGTTGGTTTCCAAGAAGCAGGCGTGGAGATGATCGCTGACAGAGAGTTTATTTGACCCTCCGAGTCAAAGATACTGTACATGATCATTGTTGAGTGACTGCAGATTGTTCAGCACAAGTGATATTTTGTCCTCCCAGGCTCCAAGTGCTGCAGCAGGAAGGCAGTCTGCACCACCGCGGATGAACTCCCAAACAATACGACTAACGGCCCATTTCCCTGCAGTGCCTCATAATAAAATCCTGGGGTCAGAATCTCTGTGGGAATTTTTTAAATAAAACAGTTTGGAGAGTTTTCTGAGCAGGAATTAAGTTCAGACCTTCTCCTCCATCTGAACAGGCTGGAACCAAACGTTGAGATTTCAACCCAACACGGAGCTCCACAAACTGGCAGTGTAACACCCACTGAAGATCATCTCCTGACAAACATGGAAGAGGAGCGGTTCGCCTGCTCCTGGCCGGTGGGTTCACCTGTGGGACTCAGCCAGGTTCCCTGCAGCCCGTCTGTCAGAGGAAGTGATGAGCAGAGGATGAATCTCATGTCAGATGTCTATCTTCCTCCTGGACGCGGTGAGGCGTTTGGGATCCACCCTTAACATCACGTTGGACGACGCTGTCAGATCCTTCTTCATGTCATCCGTCCATTACATGCAAAAGAAGCAGAGCAAGACAGAGCAGATGAGAAGACAGTGGGTTTTAGAAGAGGAGGCAGCGTTAACAGGAAACAACTTGTGATACCTTCTTGCTTATACATTTGCCTTCCTCTTTTAGTTCATTCACTTAACGTAATTTGATTTTCTCTCCTGTTTGTTCATTTACCTCCTGTCATTTAACTTTTCTTTCTCCAGTGTCTCTTCACTATCACTCTGCTGTCTTCCTGATCTGTCTTTTCTCTCTTGCTCTCTTTCCACCTGTTGTCTTCCTCTGTGAACTTTTCTTTTTCATGTTGCTCTTACTTTACTCCTTCCACTTGTCTGTTTCTGTTTGCTGGCAGTGTGTGATCTCTCAGCGCACAAACACCAATGACATGCTCTGTCTGAGCCATCAGAGAAGAGTCATCACACACCATCAGCCTCTCCTCCCACACTCCATCACTAGCCCTTGTCTGTCTCCTTCTGTCTTTCTTTCTTTCCATTTTCTCTTTGTCACAGTTAGACTTCTTCTCTCTACCAATTCAATCCTGTGCGGTTTTGTGTGCGTCACTAACTCAATGTGACATCTAAAGACAATACAAAAAAACCCAACAGTTTTTATAATTGTACATTAATTGTGTTGATAGATGATCCAGAGTTTTGGTTTGTCATAGATGGACAATGAAACAGACATGTAAAAGGCCCCCCCACCCAGACTGAAGTGGACTCTGTGTGGTACTTTTGGCTCGTTTTAGTTATTTTTATTCTCTTTTTTTGTCCCGTTGCATCTCATTGTGGTTACTGTGGCGCAAGAGATTTTGTGTCTTGCCATATTTGCTTTTCTCTCTCTTTGTGGTTGTTTTGCCCCATTTTTGTTGTTTAGCAACTCATTTTATCCATTGTGCATTTCTTTTTACTTGTTTGTGTCTCTTTGCATTCATTTTGTGCCTCTTTGTAGTAGTTTTTCTTATGTTTTTGGTTATTTTGCATTTCTTTTTTGCACATTTTGGTGAATATTTTGGTCAGTGTTTTACTAGCACCCTTTTCCATAAGGTCATTTAGCATATTTGTGGCTGTTTTGCATCTTTTTTGCTCATTTTGTGTCCCTCTGTAACCCTTTCAAGGCTGCAGTTTGGCTTTTCATCATTTCTAAATTTACCACTCCGTTCACCTCTCCCTTGAGTAGCACTGTCCGGTCACAGTGTTGCCACCATAGGTACAACACATCTGTCAAGCTTTGGATTTCTGCACATGTTAACATAGTGCACGTGGAATTGTAGTAAGAACATTGTTCTGTATGTGAACAGTCTCAAAAACATAAGGAGTGGATTATGTCTGCAAACATTAGCACACGTGGCTAACTAGCGTCCTACAAACCAGCATTACTTCCAACGTTTAAACTCGCCATGTCATTTACTAAACTTGCTTTGTGGACTTTACAGGAGGTTATGTTGTGGGACATTAAGCCAAAATTGTAAACACATATTGGCAAATCCCACTTGAAGCCAAACATTCAGAGTGAGCTGCTTTAGAAACAGTGTCAGCTGTGCGACGCTGCAGCATCACACACTGCCCTCTGGTCTCTATTGCAAAAGGGCCAAACAGTTTCAGCTTCTATGTCTCTCCCTATTAAGCATATTTAATTATTCATGACTCACTAACTGGCCACCATCCCTCTCTGCTTCTCCCTCTCCTCCTCCTCCTCCTCCTCCTCACTCTCTTCTGTGAAGCTGTAGCCTGCACACACACTGGGCTCAGGAGAAAATCTGTTCATTAAAGGCCACCAACAACAAATTGAATAAACAGTATTATATTTTAAAAAAGCCCTATTGTCTTTATCTGAGCATATAAAGTGAGCCACACATAACACAGTGCAGAAAGGCCTTATTTGAGTTATTATCGTTACTATAAATGCCAAATGGATTTGGAATGAAGTTTTATGAGTAGAGCTTTGTTTTCACCTCCGCCCTCCTAACAGCCCACTGTACCACTAACTGGTGAATGTGGTGCAGCATTCAGCAGCTGAAGAGCCAGATGTTTGCCTCAGCAGCTGGTGGAGACCAGACACAGAGCTAAAAGAGAGGGAACACTGGACCGAGTCATCGGGTGGACACAGACAGTGCTAATGAATGATAATACCTGTCCACATCAGATGGACGTGGAAGTTTACCATGTCAACATAAAAAGTAATGATGCAGTATTTCAATGTTCTTTTCAACCAGTGGTCATTCTATGAGGAGGGCTTTTACAGAAATGTGTCATTTTTTGTACTACAAACTTACTTTACGTTTGTTTTAAACCTGAATCGTCACTTTACACAGTAGGTGTTTTATTCCAGGCTGTGTAGGAGGCTGCACTGAGCCTGGGTCGTTTCTATAATTCTGCTCTAATTTAACAGTAGCGGGACTATTTTAATTGACCAATTTTGCAGTCATGTTATCTGGCACCCATGCACACGCACGCACGCATCAGCTCACACAGCCTACTTCCACATCACGTACTGTACATGCACGCACACTTCCACGTGAAAGGTATCACAAACAAACATTCGTGCACCACACATTAAACAGTTAACAAGGGCTGCACATGCACATACACACAAGCACGCATAGACTGGTGCACAGAGAGTTACACGCACATAGAAACGATGCAGCATTCAGAAAAAGGGAATACACACCACGCAGCAGTCACAGATTTCAGAGGCTCCTGCAGAAATGATGGAGGGATGAAGGTGGAGGAGGAGGAGGGAGGACTATCGATCCCCGCTCATGCCTCTCTCTCCTCCGCTGCTGCTGCTACCATCACCTCCCTCCGAAGGGAAAACAAATAAACTACACACACACACACACACTGCTGCTCCGTGGTTTCCCCTCTCTTCTTGCTGTTGATCAGATCATGATTAATTCAATCCCTCGGTCGTTCTCTGTCTCTTTCTTCATTAATTCCTCTGCCCACCTCGCTCCTGCTGCAGCCCCGGCTCTTTCCTTCTCCTTCCTCCTATATTTCTTCTTGTTGCCGAGTCAATATCTTTCTAATTATCATTCCTCTGCGTCCCAGCCGAGCGGTCCGCCGCTGCAGCGCTGCTGACCCCCCTCTTTGTGCGTGTGAACGCAAGGTGCTTTGGTTAAAAAAAAAAAAATCTCCGCTATTCTACTGTAGAAAGAGGAGGAGGAAGAGGGAGGAAGTGTCGAGTCCAGACAAGCTGCCTGGATGGATGGATGGACGGAGGAGGTGGACACACTAATGAAGAAAGGAGGGAGGAAAAGTGTGTGTCGGAAATTGATAGAAAAACGCCCACCGTCACGCACCGACAAACGCAGAGCGCGGGATCACCGCCCAACCAGGAGCATCACAGGATGTTAGAGGCTGTGGTTTGGAACATCTTAGGAACAGGCCGTAGTGGAGGTGGACCTACCAGGAGGTCTGTGTCTGAACGGGGCTCCTACTGACTACATGTTACGAGGACTTACAGCACTACAGTAGAAATACCACAGTGTAAAAATACTCTGTTACAAGCAAAAGTCCTACATTCAAAATGTAGCTTAAGGTACAAAAGTATCAGCACCCAAATCTACCAGCAGTACCAGTACTCATCCAGCAGAACAGCCCGTGTCCCAGTAACGTCTCTGATACTGGATCATAGTGACTAATTACTGTGTCCATCACTTTAATGCTGCAGCTGGTAAAGGTGGAGCTGATGGTAACTACCTTATATACTTATACTGGGAAGTACTTTCCATCCTGCTGGGTAGCTGGTGGATTTCCTACTGGGATCAATAGAGTCTGATGGTTCTACTGGGTTTGGTTTGATTCATCTGGTTCTGGACCTGAAGTCATCAGGTACATGTAGTGTAGTAAAAAGTACACGGTTTGTCTCTGACATGTGGTGAAGTCACAGGATGAAGTAGCAGGACATGGAAATACTCAAGTAAAGTACAGATACTGTATCTCAGAACTGTCCTTAAGTACATCAGTGAATGTACTTGGTTACTTTTCACCTCTGTTTGCAGTCACATTGCCTCTGTGTGGTAGTTTTCTGTCTGAGGTGGCTCTGCATGCTACAGAGGCTCTAACCCTTTGGTTAGGCCAAACCCCTGCACAGACTGTATCCAGGTCACTAACAATTACTTAACTATACTAAATAATATCCCAGTAAATGTACAGAGGCAGCAAAGTGGCCGTTTGGGATGATCACTGGCTCTCATGCTGAACTACAGCAGCTGTATCTGGGGCTGTAATGAGATGTGGCTGCAGGATAGAAAAGGTTTTATAAATCAGATGCTGCACAGCAGGCTGAATAAACGCACATACATTAAACTATATGTTGCAGTAGGTCACACACAGTTGCCACACTGAATACTAAAGAGTCGCAATTAGGCAAATAAAACACATCACACAACACTAGACTGGTTTCTAGGTTGCAGCTGGGCCACAGGTATCAGACCGCGCTGACACCAGCATTACTGTCACTAATCCCACTGGTCATGACCACACATGAAGCTTTCAGGAAACGTTTTCTGGGATGTCAGGAGCACATTTTAGTCTGTGGTCGTTTTCTGTCCGCGCTGTTTCGATATTACACGGATGTGACAGGAAAACCAATGAACTGTCAGCGCTAATTAGTTAATGACAGAAGCTCGACGTCAGTATCTGGGAGAAGTGTTTTAATAAAGCTTGGACATTAAAAATTCAGCAGCGCTCCAGGTGATCTGTTCGGCTGTGTGCGGACACCCATCCACAGCGGAACGCACACGCACGCACGCCGCTATACACACCGAGTTGTCGTCAGGCAGAAACACAAAGCTGGTTAATGAAAGTTTTTCACGATGACTCACCTGTGGTTGCAGTTTTTCCTCCGTCCTCTGCTGTAAAATGTCAGTAATCCCCATCACGCACAGCCTGTCTGCGGGATCCGCTGCTGCTGGAAGCTGTGGCCGCAGACAGCGCCAAAGATCCTCTATGTGCAACAGGAGCGACCACTCTG